CTGATAAGTGTACGAGGATTGAGCTGACAAGACGGTTTACTTCGCCGTCCGGATCAAGCTGGCATGTACAGTGTGTATGCGTACTGGATCGATTGGCTAGCAAGCGCAAGCTGGAGTAGAATGCACTAGTTGAACAATCCAATCGAGATGCATTGCATGCATCACACGCACAATTAAACGCACGCATTGTACGTAGACTTACATTTACACACGGCACTCCATCGATCTCTCCATCTGCAAAACACTGTTCGAATGTTGGGCTGGCATCAGCTAGCTTGCCCATCTAGCAGTACGCACGTGTACGTTCTTGTTGCAGTAATTGAAGATATCCACTACACATATATGCAGACATGCAGTGTAGTTAAAGTACTCTTCCATCTCTGAAATATAAACGCTTTCATAATTATTCATTGGAATTAAGGAGATGAGAGAAGTAAAATTTAAATGTGAATGGTTAGATTGAGATTATGAAGTTGATCAAACCAATTTTAAACTTAAAAGGTTGTTTAAGAGGGAGGAAACAGTAGATTAAGATATAAAGATGCATGTGTGTCCACAGCACTAATTCCTCTGGTCGATCTGCCACCACTGTGTGTGCTTGCATGCATGGCTGCTGTTTTGCCATAGCCACACTTGTACACGAGTGACCAATCAATGCATGCACGTCTACTTCTACCTGCTCGATCGATTGATTGCCATCTGCAACCACCGTACACCGGCCGGTGACCGGCCGGCCGGCGTCTCCTGCCCTCTGCTCCTTTCTTCTTCTTCCTCATCCTCTTCTCTGCAAGTTTAATTTGGTTCAGGACCACATCCTGTGATGGAGGAGTAATAGCTTGTCCGTGTGGTACTACTCCCTCCGTCAACCCCTGGATTTTTGTGTCCAACTTTAACTGTCCGTCTTATATGAATTTTTTTTATAATTTGTATTTTCATTGTTGTTAGATGATAAAACATGATTAATATTTTATGCGTGACTTGTCTTTTTAATTTTTTTTCATATTTTTTTCAAATAAGACGAACGGTCAAACGTTGGGCATGGAAATCAGGGTTTGTCTTTTTTGAGATGGAGGGAGTACGTGAGGACTGGTCCAGTGACCAATAGTCCAATACATAGCTCTCGATTTGTATGGCTGGCTGGCATTAACATTCGCCAGTAATGGCTTGCTGTCGAAGAGTTCGATCTGTTGATCGATACGACATCGGTCAAGACAGGACTGTATGAACAAGCGACAGTAATGGTTTGCACCTTGGGAACCAATCAATGTGTGTGCTCGCAGTTGCAGGCACGGTTCCTGCAGGGCTTATTGCCTTTGACCTGGACGACATCATGGTATGTATAGGACTCGATCAGGACACTTGAAGGTTAAATTCACTTGTAAAGAACGGCTACACAATGATATATGCGGATTCACTTACGGAAGTGCTAACGGGCGATCGATCGCCCAGCGACAAGGGTAGCGATCCATCCCCCTTCCCCCTCCCTCCCTCCACCTGCTTTCCTTTTTTGGCACCGCATTACTTTCCTATTTTAATAAATTTATGTACATAAAGTTTATACATCTAAAGTTTATACATCTAAAGTTTATACACGTCAAGTTTACACATCTAAAGTTTAGAGACCAAAAGTTTATAAGTCAAAAGTTTATATATCCGATTCAAATTTGAATTTGAATTCAAATATTTTTTATATATAGTATTTCTATACATCTAAAGTTTATAGACCTGAAGTTTATAGACCCAAAGTTTATAAGTCAAAAGTTTACATACCCGATTCAAATTTGAATTTGAATTATATCCGTTCAAATTTGAATTTGAATTCAAATATTTTCTATATATAGTATTTCTATACATTTAAAATTTATACACCTAAAGTTTATAGACCCAAAGTTTATAAGTCAAAAGTTTACATACCCGATTCAAATTTGAATTTAAATTCAAATATTAGTTTATAGACCCATAGGTCAAAAGTTTACATACCCGTTTCAAATTTAAATTTGAATTTGAATTCAAATATTAGTTTATAGACCCAAAGTTTATAAGTAAAAAGTTTACATACCTATTTTGAATTTGAATTTTAATTCAAATTTGTATGGTGTAGTAGTAAGAGAAGAAGGGGAGGTAAAGTAGTAAGGGAGGGGCGGGTGATCGCTTGGGAGGGGGAGGGAGCGATCACCCCCCATTAGGAGTACCCATTCACTTATGCAAGATGGATAATTTGGTCGTTTTCTGTAGTTTCCGCGAAGGCCTTCCATATAAAGTCAGGCCCGGCAAAGCCTTTGAAGGCCTGCATTACTTATGTAACACAATGTGGACTCTGTTTGTTTGTCTAGTACTGGGCCTCAATTAGCTCTTTTGGTGAATTCTCTCGTCGTTCTTTTCTGGACCTAATCCTCGTTGAGATTCTCTGAATATGACATGTTACTAGCTCCTTCCACACAAATTAATTCCCTGTGCATCACGTTGTTAGTAGGGGCTGGTTTGGTGAGAATTTTCAGAATATGCCATCGAATACGCACCGTTTTTAGGATAGCCCACTCAATTTGTACTACTCTCAAAACATGCCATTTGGACGCGAATTTTCTTCAGTCCGTGACACTCCATCACCTGAAGCCGCGCGGCGTCAGTTCCTCTTCTCTAGCGACGTTTACAAGCGCGCATCTGGGCACCGCCAGCGAGCTCTTGTTCCCCTACCGGCGAGGTCCTCCTCCCCCACACCGGCGAGGTCCTCCTCTCCCATACCGGTGAGCTTCTTCACGCACGACGGCGACCTCCTCCTCCCCCATGCCCGCGAGCTCTAGATCGGGGAGCGGCGCGTGGAGACCTCGGCGGCCAGATCCCCACGGCTACAAGCCGCCGCCCCTCGTCATCCTATTGCCGCCGCGCCCGAGCGGCCGTCAACGGTGGGGCTCGATGGCAATGGCTGGTGGGGCGAACGAATGGTGAACGGAATTGCTGCGCCGACACGAAGTGACGGTGGAAGGACGGGAGTGTCACGGACGGTAGAAAATTTGCGTCCAAATGGCATGTTCTGAAAGTAGTACGAATCGAGTAGCCTATCTTGAAAACGGTGCATATTCAGTGGCATATTCTGGAAATTCTCCTGGTTTGGTTTGAGGCCTAAAATAGGCTTACCAATATTTGGCAATTTCAATAGTGTTTAGGATATATTTGGTTTAAAGCCAAATTTTGGCATGCCTAAGAAAATAGACCATTTCAATAGTGAACTTAGGCTATTTTGGCTTCAATTCAAATACAACTTTACATTACCAAAATTAGCCATGCCAAAACTTACTAAAATTTGGCATTGACAAAATTTGGTAAGGCCTGTTTAGGCCATAAACCAAACCAACCCTAGATCATCTCTGTTGGTTTTGTCTCTGGCAGTGAATGGATAGCTCAAGTGCTGAGAGGTGTGAAAATGGATCGAAGAAGAGTTCCCTTTGTATGACTGAAAACCGTTTGAGTTCAGAGAAACTATTTTAAAGTCTTGAGCGAACATCTTTTCTTTATTTGCATTGTCATTCAAATGATTAAAAAAATACTTCATAAACGTTCAATAAAGTAGATTAATACTCCCTCCGTATTTTAATATATGACGCCGTTGATTTTTTAACCAACGTTTGACCACTCGTCTTATTTAAAATTTTTATGCAAATATAAAAATACTTATGTCATGCTTAAAGAACATTTTGATGATAAATCAAGTCACAATAAAATAAATTATAATTACATAAATTTTTTGAATGAGACGAAAGGTCAAACGTTTGTTAAAAAGTCAACGGCGTCATATATTAAAATACGGAGGGAGTATGTGATAAATCTGTCTCCAGGGAGTTGGATGACTGATGAGATCGCACTTACTGTTCTCTCTCCTTCTCTCTAGGTTGGCTTGAATTCAAGATCTGTACTATTAATTCTCAAATTACGCATGGTTCTTTGATTGTTATTCTTTAGATCATTCCAGAATCGTGCCTGATCAACAACGAAGAAATTCCGATTCACAGATAACTGAATCGATGCATGGCAGGCAGAGCTCTCATCTAGGATCGCAACCAATTGTAGCGATCCTGATAGGGATGTGTTTCAACGGATACAAGATAAATGTACGGACTTTCCGTAAAAACTTACAGCCACTTATTCCATACGATCTGAGCCGCGTATTCTCGATCCGATGGTCTGCGTTGTCCCGAAAGAAGATTGCGATCCACTTGGGGTGCCCTTTAACGGAGTACACGTAAATAGTAAGGTCTTTTCGTTAAAAATTAATTCACCGCATGATCTGAACCGCGAATTGCCGATCTGACGGTTCTCGTTGGTACCATGGGATCACTTTGAACGACTCACTAAATAGAAGGGCCTTTTATGAAAAAACGCACGCTCTGCCGCCGCCGTCATCTCCGACGCTCCTCCGTGGCGGCCGGCGGCCGGCGGCCACCGGCGCTGCTCGTCGCTGCCCCTTCCCATGGCCACGCGAGGAGAGCACCAAGCTAACTATGGGTGGTCGCCGCGGCAGCATCCTTTTCTAATGAAAGCGACCTCGCCCGCTCTGGCGCGGCAGCGTGGAGCGGCGGTTGCTCGCGGCGTGTTTGACGAAATGCCGCGCCGGGACGACGACGCCATGGCCGGGGCATCCACCTCTGGGACCGCGCGACGCGACGAGTCTTCTCGCGTCTGCAGCGGAAACTCCGTGGTCTCCGCATGATTCGTGTCTTCGTGAGTCGTGACCACGGGAGGGGAGGCGGCATGGACTTCTTCAGGCCGGCGCCAGCGCACATGTAAGAACCGAACGATTCGCTCATCGCTTTTGTCATCATCTAACCAACGATCGATGAAAAGCAATGTTTATCCTGATGGCGCTGAAACGGACAATGTTGCCATCAGATCATGCTTGATTTCTTTTTAATTTTTATTTATCGACAGCGTGATTCATGCAGCGTGTGCGAAGTACACCAGATCTCAGCAAACTTTTGTCAAACTCAAACACGACGCCTTGTTCCAGGGGTGTCAATATAAATAGCAAAAAATTGGGGGACCGTACCAGCAAAAATCTCAGATTGCGTTGAGCTGAAGCTGTTCGTGTGACTCTTCTACACCTTCCAGGCTATCCGGAATCGGGAGGGTTTCCCAATAGGAAAGCAACTCAGGACTCAGGAGCGGCGTCTGAGAGGTTTCAGAGATGGAGAACCAGTTCCAGGTGAGATCTCTGTACCCTAATCCTTTTCTCCTGCTCTTGTTTGTGTCCTGACCGACCTGGGATGCCGAGGACATGTTGCGCCAAGAAAAGCTTCCTTTCTTTCCCGGGCATGTTTCGTCTAGGTTTTCTTGATCTTGTTTAGGGTTCGTGTTGAATAGGCGGAAGTTGTACATGCGAAATTGGAGGCGGTATTATGGGATTGCGAATCTCCTCCGGAAAATTGATTTAGCTGCTTTGGATGATTGGCTTTGGGGGTGAAACTGTGCTTGTAAAATCTCAGATCAGATTAGGCGGTCAATTATTCGATTTGCTGGTGGGTTTGGTACTCGAGAGCACCCCAAAGTTGGGAGCTTTGGTATATGTAGCATGGAACTTGCTATCCAGTCCTCAACATGGTGTTCTAGTCCTGTTTGAGAATAATCTAAAGGTTGGAGTTAAACAGTACGGGATATCTGATATTTTAAATGGTACAACATAGAGTTTAGAGGTCCTTATTTATTGAAGAAATGTTTCCACTATCACCATCATGTCTAGATCACCCCCACTTCAATACCGTTGCTCTGTTGATACTAGAACTCTAGAAGTATTGAGGCCCCTTAAAGGCTTCAAGCTTGCTGTCACTTGGTTGACCTGATGCAGTCTTATTATATAACTAATTACTTCATTTATAATGGTTTTTCCATTTTTTTTGCATCCACTTGCTTTGGAGCATTTGTTGGGAGGTTCTTTTCCTAAGGATATCTGTGTCCTGTCAACCAGTCCTGGAGCATTACTAGAATTGCATGGATTTCATCACTTCTGTTTGTTTTTGCATTCCTTAGTCTTATGAATGAGATGACCTGATACAACGTAAATTATGTTAGATGTTTAAACTAGACCTCAGATAGTGGGTTATACCTGTTTCTACTTGTTCTGAAGTATGTTGTCCATTGCTAATTTAGGATGGCAAGGAGGAGGTCATCGAAGCTTGGTACATGGATGACAGTGAAGAGGACCAGAGGCTTCCTCATCATCGTGAGCCCAAAGAATTCATTCCTCTTAGCAAACTTTCAGGTTTGTGCATCTATTGCTCAAACAATATGTTTAGCTTTTGTAACTAACTCTTAGTAGAACTAGTGCCAAATTGCCAAAAAACTTGCCAGATGTTAATGTGGTGCACAATTGATACACCAGAGTTAGGAATATTAAGCTGGCGCCTGAATGCTGATGACTGGGAGAATGATGAGAACCTCAAGAAAATCCGTGAGGCCAGGGGATACTCTTACATGGTTTGCATTTCAGAACTTGTTGTGAGTTTCCATTTTTTTTGTTCGCAAGGTTAATATGCTTTTCCTTGTGCAGGATATTTGTGATGTGTGTCCAGAAAAGCTGCCAAACTATGAGGCTAAGCTGAAAAATTTCTTTGAAGAACACTTGCATACTGATGAAGAGATACGCTATTGTCTTGAGGGAAGTGGTATGCATCTTTATTATACTAGTTGAGCACTTGATAACTAGTAATAACTTGCTTCCAGCAATAATCATGGTGGCATGTTTTGTGGTTGTCACATACTTCTTTTTCTCATGCTCCTCTAGGATACTTCGATGTCAGGGACCAAAATGATCAGTGGATCCGTGTAGCAGTGAAGAAAGGGGGCATGATTGTTTTGCCTGCGGGAATGTATCACCGCTTCACATTGGACAGTGACAACTACATCAAGGTATCTTTTGCTTTGTTCCTTTGTTCCCACAAATAGTTATGTTATAAGCATCAAACTGACTTTGACGTGAACTTATGCGTTTTAAGTATATTGGTGAACAGCGGTCACCATTTTTCTGTCATTTACTTAAGTAATCTGTTCATTTCCTAAACCTATGTTCCATTTCTATGCTCTTATCAAATAAGGAACATCAGTCCAATATGGTTTTTTCCTTACTATGCTTCTGCAGGCAATGCGGCTCTTTGTGGGAGAGCCTGTCTGGACGCCGTACAACCGTCCCCATGACCATCTGCCAGCTAGGTATCTGTTCTTTCTGTTCCTTGTTTTCCTCTTTATCTCTGGCTTATTTTTCCGGTTATTGTTGACTCAGTGGAGGTTTTGCATAATTTCAGAAAGGAGTATGTCGAAAAAATTATCAACAGGGGTGGAACTCAAGCTGTCGAAGCTCGTTAAAGGCATATCAAGATGTGCTTCCTAGTTCGGTGTTCTGTTACACTCTACAGATACTGAATAAACTGTGCTATCAGCTGTTGCAATGGGCTCCTACCGACATCTTACATCATTTGGCAGTATTTTGCACAAACCCGCTTAAAATCTCCCTGAAAATACGCACGTCACCATGTCAGAGTGTTTATATACAATAATGACACTTCAGTCCACAGTCAGCAAGGGACTAATGACAATCATTGTACTTGTGGTGTGTGTGATGAAACCACAATGATCAAACCGAGTGTCTGAATCTCTGAATTGTTTTTTTTAGCACAATGATTGTGTACCAAACCCTCTGTTGCTGTGTGCGGTGGCTGGCTCACCTGATGGCCTTTGTGCTACTCCTGTCGTCTTCAAAGTATCTGACGGTGCTGACCAAAATCTTTGAAATGATAGTGCTAATGCTGTTGATTACCGAAAAGTTGGGGCACATTGATGGCAGATAACCTAGTACTGTGGGTTTCTATGGACCAGAGAACTGCAAGGAAGATTGTATTGTATGCTAGTGAGATTGAACACGTTCATGTGTACTTTTGGTTGCCACTTGCCCAGTTGCGAGTCCGGCCAACGGTGGAACAACTATTTTCAGGTCAGAGCAGAACGCGCTCCGATGGATCATCAATTCATCATTCCACTTTTTTTTTGTGAGGCAGCAAATTTTGCTTGTGTGTGTAGTGCGAAAGCCTCACACTAGTATATCAACCAATGAGTAGCAAATGAAAATATCTTGGACAGCTAGTTTTCGATTGGTTGCAGAATTTGGGGTTTCAACAACTTGTTTCTATTCTTTATTTTGGTTTAATACTCCCTCATTCCCTAAATGTTTGACACCGTTGACTTTTTTAAATATGTTTGACCGTTCGTTTTATTCAAAAACTTTTGTGATATGTGTAAAACTATATGTATACATAAAAATATATTTAACAATAAATCAAATGATAGAAAAAGAATTAACAATTACTTAAATTTTTTGAGTAAGACGAACGGTCAAACATTTTTAAAAAAGTCAACGGCGTTGGGATGGAGGTAGTACCATATAACTATTGGGTAAGACCTGTTATAGTTTCGGAAAACCATTACACTCAATTTAAATTCAAACTTTTTATATCGTGTCTGGTAGAATCATTTTTTTTTCACCAATGTTTGAATTCAAATATTCCTGTTTGATTTGAATGTTTACCCAATAAACTCCGGTAAAGAACAAAAACAGCACGTGAGTCCCACGTGAGATTGAAAAGGAATTCAGATAAGCTAAGAAAAAACCCAGAGAGAAAAAAAGAACAAACCTTTTTTTTTCTCCTGACCCCTGCAATGAATATCATCTAGCCGGACGAGATCGTGTGTGCCAATCACCGAGCGCGGCAAACAAATTCTGTGACCCACACGCAAAAGCGTCGTCGAGGCCGGATGAGATTCGGATCAGAAAAAAGAAAAAGAAAAAAAAAGAAAAAAAAATGGCACGAGCCGTCGATGTCAGCTATCGATTCCGGCATCCCACTTGCGGCCGTGCCGGCGAACCTCAGCCACACTCCCAGGCTTCGCCTTCCGGAAGCTTCCGCCGATCCGGCCGCGGCCACGAACCGCGCGGTCTAGAACCTTCCATTCCTCTCCTGGCCAGTACACGGTTGTTTATATTGCGCCACTCTCGCTGACTCGCTCGCTGCCAAGCTCGCCGGATTCTTTTCTTGGATTGGAGCAGATTGGGGGGTGACGATGGAGAAGATGATGCCGGGGATGGTGAAGGAGGAGTGGCCGCCGAGCTCGCCGGAGGAGGGGGAGGCGCCGAGGCCCATGGAGGGGCTGCACGAGGTCGGGCCGCCGCCGTTCCTGACCAAGACGTTCGACCTGGTGGCCGACCCGGCCACCGACGGCGTCGTCTCGTGGGGCCGCGCGGGCAGCAGCTTCGTCGTCTGGGACCCCCACGTCTTCGCCGCCGTCTTCCTCCCACGCTTCTTCAAGCACAACAATTTCTCCAGCTTCGTCCGCCAGCTCAACACCTACGTGAGTCCCCCCAATTTCCATTGCCACCACTAGTGTTGTTCCCTGCTTGTCTTCAGTTGTTGGGAAATTGTGTGTTCTGTTTTCTTGTTTTGGATGTTGTTGTTCAGTTCTTGGTCCGGACGAATTACCTGAACAAGCGATCACATTTCTACAGTTTGAGATTTCAGGTTGGATTGTTAGATAATTAAAATGGGTGTGTTCTCACTTTTGTGGTTGCCATTATGTTTTGTGCCACATCGTGTGTGTTGAGTATTGATAGGAATCTTGACACTAGAATTAAATGGATGGAGCATTGTAAAATTTTCAGTGCAAATTGTAAACCCGGCGGTATTGGTTAAATAAATCGGTTGTATTGTGCATTTTTCCACTCAGTGCAAGAACTTTGTGCATGCACAAATGCACAATTATGTAGCAATGGAGCTAGAAACTGGGATTTACTTATTGGTGCTGACCTGTTGGTTGTAGAAAATTACGATGGCTACAATTGTTCAACGGACTGTTTTGTGGACTTGACATTATTTGCCCAAACTCAGCTATGTCCAATCCTTTTCAGACACATGCATATAAACCCTCAATTCCTGAAATGTTCTCAATGATTCAGAAAGAGGAAAAAAATCTCCATGGACGAACTACTCAGTTTCTGACATGCTGTTTTCTTCAATTTGTTACTGTGTAGCTAGATGGATCAAGACAGCGGATGAAGCTACAAGAATCTGCTTGTTTGTTCTAGAAGACTCCTTTGATCACCATCAAAAAAAAGAAAAAGTGATGTAGTATACTGCTACCTGTTCTCTTAATAATGCTATGATAAATTTTGTCGCAAAACTATGTGAAACCAACCGTTTTACATACTTTGTGTGACTTGCTATCCTAATTGAGTTTTGTCTGTGGCTTCTGTACTTGAACTAACTATACCTGTAATATTCTTTGTGTTTGCAATTTGCAGGGTTTCAGAAAGATTGATCCTGACAGATGGGAATTCGCGAATGATGGTTTCCTGAGAGGCCAGAGGCATCTTCTAAAGATGATTAAGAGGAGGAGACCATTGTCTTATCTCCCTGGATCTCAGCAGGCACTTGGCACCTGCCTTGAGGTTGGTCAGTTCGGATTAGATGAAGAGATCGACAGGCTAAAGCGTGACAAGAACATCTTACTCGCGGAGGTTGTGAAACTAAGGCACAAGCAGCAAAGCACGAAAGCCAATATGCGAGCCATGGAAGAGAGGCTGCAACATGCGGAGCAGAAGCAGGTCCAGATGATGGGTTTCTTGGCAAGAGCAATGCAGAACCCTGACTTCTTTCACCAGTTGATTCACCAGCAGGATAAAATGAAGGGGCTCGAGGACACATTCTCGAAGAAGAGGACGAGGTCGATAGACATAGTGCCATTTCTCAACCCCGGGGAGGTCAGCCAGGGCGATCAACTCGAGTCGACATTGCTGTTTGATCCAAGGCCATTTGCTGAACTGAATGATGAGCCTGCAAAGTCTGAACTGGAGAATTTAGCACTGAACATCCAGGGTCTTGGGAAGGGCAAGCAGGATGTCAACAGGACTCGAAATCAGCCACGAAATCAGGCTAGCAACGAAACCGAGTTAACCGACGACTTCTGGGAGGAGCTTCTGAATGAAGGAGCAAGAGATGATGCTGGGATTCCAGGGATGGAGCGAAGAAGACCTAGATATGTCGATGCATTAGCGCAGAAGCTGGGTTATCTAAGCAATAGTAGCCAAAAGTAGATCAAGTGGCTCCGATTTGTCCAACCATTTTTGTGATAGCTCTTATTGTATATCGGTGTAATTGTATTATAGTGATAGTTTTATAGCGATAGGTCCAATTTATATTGCGGATCCGGCGTGCTGTGTAGTATATGTCTGGTGATGTAAAGTTGAGCCATCATTCTTAATGGTATATATTGACAATTTTTTGCATTGTTGTGGCCTTCTTTTTGTCATGCACTCGTCTATGCTCAACTGCTTGGTTTATGGTGATGCCTGCTGAAAAACCTGAATTTTAGCTGATGCCGGCTGTACGCGGCCGCTGTGCAGACATATCTGGGTGAAGTCTGAAGACCATACATGTGAATTTTGTAGTAGGATAAAGTGAGTGAAAATTACGGGTGAAGTCTGAAGACCATACATGTGAATTTTGTAGTAGGATAAAACGAGTGAAGTCTGAAGATCATACATGTGGATTTTGCAGTAGGATAAACTGAGTGAAGTCTGCAGAGCATACATGTGGATTTTGTAGTTGGATAAAGTGAGTTCAGACTTCACCCCGATGAGTTTGCAGTAGGCAGGATCAACTGAGCAAGTCGCTCTGGATAGATTTGTTGGAGAAGAATTGCCGCTTGGGATCTGGAACATTAGCTAGACGATGGAAGCAGAAGCGTGCAGTACACTACTGTAGAGTGTACAGGAGGGTGATTCCTGGATGCTAGTACCTGATTGATGAAAGTTGTATACGATGATTAGCTTCACAAGAATGTGGTGTGCACCTGGTTGTGGGCCTTGTGGCGACTTGACTACTACTAGTAGTCTAGCCGTCTAGGGGTGTGTTTAGTTTCTGAAAAAAGTTGGAAGTTTGGGAAAAGTTGAAAGTTTAGAAAAAAAGTTAAAAGTTTATGTGTGTAGGAAAGTTTTGGATGTGATGTGATGTGATAGAAAGTTGAAAGTTTAGGGTAGTTTGGGGTGAACTAAACTAAGCCTAGTACTCCCTCCGTCCTATAAAAAACGAATCTATGACCGGATATGACATATTATATTACTATGAATATATTCTAATATATGTATATCCAGATTCATAGTACTAAGATGTGTTATATTTGGTATTTATGGGATGGAGGGAGAACTTCAGTTGTTGTGTACTTTTATGGTCGATGATCATCGGTGGCGACTGGCAACCACGGCATGAACCAGGAGAATTTTGCGCAGATGCACGCGGGGAATAGCAAACCGCGCACGCATGGGCCGTTTAGCTGCCCGCACCGCACACGGCTCGGCGAGGAGCACGCGCGGTGGGCCAAGCTCTGGGAATCCCACGTCAACGCGTGTATGGGCCAACCTCGATGAGACTAGCTGATGGAATTTGGAATTGGGCCGAGTTGCTGGGCTCTTCACCACAGGATCGCACTCGAACCCACGCGACCCCCAGGCCCAGCAGATCGATCGCTGCGCGTCGGCTCTTTGACTCCACTTCTGCTGCTTCCTCCTGAGGCTACTAAATTGTCACGACCTTAATTTCTCATCAATAAATTAACTAGGATATTACATTTCACAACTCGGAACACAAAGAGTACAAGCAAATAGCCGACTTCTCCTCAATAACTTAAAAAGTTTTTTTTTACATATGCAACTCAATACATTTAACGGACCCTACGGCATATTTGCAAACAAAAAAAAATTTATGAATAAAACTTTTATATACGTGTTCTTAACGATCTAAAAGCAAAGGCTGAAAAATAAACTTTGATGAAAAAACTCTAAAATCAACTCTTAATTTAAGGTATTCAAATTTTGACCGATAAACATAATCGTAAATAAAAAATGAGGCCTTTAACATCTCCTAAAATACTGACTTGTAGTTTTGTCTGCTAGAGAATAAAAGATGAGGTGAAAAGACTGATACCCGTAATTAGGTTCCTTGTGGTGGAACCTATCCACCCTGTTTCAAATCCTAAATTTGACATAAGTGTTCGTATTTACGGCTAATTATTCTTTTAGTGGTAGGTGATGTACCCGTTGACAACGAGACGTCCGTGGTGACTTCGTCATTTTCAAGATATGCCGCCCCAGTCTTCTATAGGTGCTCATACGGGTAGGGGTGTGCATGTGTGTTCATAGTGTAGTAAACCAGCTCAACTATTAGCGGAGCACCAAACCTGCTCCATGTCCATCCCAAGGCATTGAAGCATGAGAAGATGTAGAACACTGCACTTTTCTCTTTGCCCTCAAGAACATTGCAGAAGTAGACAATGAACAGAGATGTGGGGCTTTTTCTTTATTATAGATATGATATGGAGTATAAACCAACTTGAGATGTCTCACCTGCTCTTGTATATATGAGTCTTAAGATGAAATAAATCTTATCTCTACTCCGGTTTAGATTGACCCATGAGAAACTTATCTCCTACAGATTTATTTCACAACACATAGGGTTGAGTACGCGTGCGTTATGAGCGCATGTGTTTATATTGTGTTTCTTAAATAATATTAAATGGGGTTAGAAGGGCCCGAGGGGGTTACGATTATTTACAAATTAAATAAAGGTTAGTTGGTGGGGGAAAATAGTGCTCTAGAAAATCTTATATTTTACAAGTTTTATTAAATGTTACAAATCTTTATATCTTAGAATGAAAAGAGTATCTTATACTTATCTTACATCATTTGCATAGGCCAGAAGAGCGACACGTAACACAAACGACACAAATTAGGCGTGGAGATGCATGAAAGGACCATTGGGTGTGCAGCTTTTAGAAAGCCCCACCATAAGCTAATCACAAAACCTTGGCATGCATCACATAGTGGGCGAGCATGCCATATATTCTACTTTCCTTCCATTCTCCATATATGGACCACCTCCCACACTCCTTTGAATTATTCTTGCGCATATATCGATCATCTACCTTTTCTACTATTACATCCATTTTATATTATAAGTCGTTTAACCTTTTTCATGATAAATTTGACTAAAATTTAGAAAAAATAATATTAGTACTTTCAACATAAAACAAGCATATTATCAAATATATTCAATATTAGATTTTATAAAACTACTTTGGTATTTTAGATGTTGCTAAATTTTTAAATAAAACCACTCATAATATAAAACGGAGGGAGTACTATACACAAAAAAAAAAAAACATTAGCCTCTCCACCAAAAAGGTCTCTCCATAAAAAGCCCTAATCACCTTCTCCCACTCCACCAACGCACGCCTTATTTTGCCCATCCCCCTAATCTCTCTCTTTGATAAGGTTTCTTCTCCCATATCTCTCTAGCTAGCTACTAGGCATGGCGATTATGGAGGTAGATGAGATGGGCTGTTAATTCGCTTTGTTTGTGCGCCATAAGCAGGTGAAGCTGCCAGCATGATCTGAAAGCATCTCAAACCAGCGATCAGATCATCCGGCAGCTTCATCTTCTCATGGCAGCACACCAGCTTGATTGATTGATGATGAAACCCTAGGAGCAGGTAGCTTGGCTTCTCGATCTTAGCCTGATCTTATACAAGGACGATCGATTAGGCCAAATCAGGAGTTCAACAGTCCATGTAAGTTCAGCTTCAGCTTTTTTTAATTTGCTCCTTGAGATAGCAAATCAAGATCTAGGGCTTTCTGGAGGAGATGAAGTCGTGTACATGTTCTTAGATTGCGATCTTGGTAGTTTGTTTTTGTTTCTGCAGATCGAGTGCAAATATATGTCTTTTAGATCTGCATATATTGATATTGGATTTGTAACTTTGAATGTGCAATTTGATCTGTATATGCACTGGATATGACATTATTCATGCATCTTACATGTTTTATATCACTTATTAGTATGCAGAAATTGAAGTCTGAATAATTAAGCAGTAGGATCCATCTGACGAATGAACATATATTTATATATAAGCTATTATATTATCAGGTAACGCATCAGACTATCATCTCATATTGCCCCGTGTCCCTCTTAAACACAACTACACAACCTAATGTTTTATATGTATATGCATGTGTGCCATACACGCTTGCGACATACATTTAGATGTTCTATGATATCCATTCACTCATCGGAATATATCTGACATGCATGGAGTGGTGAATTGAAGTTCCCCCATGCATCCTCTTTTTCAAAAAAAAAAAAAATCTATATCATATATATATCCTCTATCCCTTGTCTTTCCTACTTTCCCTTACATCATACATGCATGAAGATGTACATATATGAAAAAAAATGATTAATACTAGTATTTTGCAGTTACTATTTGTCCAATCCAAATTAATCTTCTGATGCTATTTTCATATGGCAAATCTTATAGTATCTCTTGTATATTTTTTTTCTCTTTATCTTAACGATGAAGTTGTTAAAGCTTGATTGCATACGTTCTAATAATTCGTGATCAGGAAGAAGTATTAAGTTACAGTTCAAGATCAGGGAAAAGCATAATTTCATCTGAGTCTTGCTCTGATCCCGTTGAAAACGTTTTAAAATCTTGCAATATGCATGGACCACTACTATGAATCAACATATCGCCATCCTTGATATTCATTAACTGTGGTGGCTTAATTAGTTGCTTCGGCATATATACTAATTTGACAGTACAACAGTTATTTCAGATGCTGCGTGATCTGAAGAATTTTCGTCCTTAGAGGCATCTTACGCGTGCCATCCATGCCTGAAGGATGATCTCACATCTGAGCAAATTAAATGCGATGAATTAGATTCCCATATTTACTCGACCTCTTATTGCTAGGGATATATATAACCTCTCTTTGGTGCGTACTAATCGTCTGATTATCTCCTGTCACTGTTGCTTACTCAAAGCTAATTATATGAGGCTCATTTCCTCTCTTTTCTACTGTACTCACCAGATGCAACTTTTCTGCACTGCAGATATATGTGGACGCTCATTGTCATCCAAAAGCAAGATTAGCTCCTCTAATTTTGAGCACTGACGCATGCCACTGATAAACCTTTTAAACTATATAAACAAACTTTCAGTTGCAAGAAACGATACAGTGCATGTAACTATACTATAACCAGGAAATGAAGGGGACTGATGTCTATAGCATGGCGCCGACGACCACTGAATAGATGCATGCGCGCATCCTCTGGCTTGCAAGAAATTGCCTGTCAATTCTGGCAGGCAACAAGAGGATGAAAAGAATCACAACCCCTGAATGGTCACAAATATTTCACAATAGAAGTTAGTATTTTCTCCGTTTCACGATATAAGACTTTCTAGCATTACCCACATTTATATAAATGTTATGTGTCTGGGCATTGATAGAAAGTCTTACATTCGTGAAAAAGAGGGAGTAGCAACTTAATTTTAGGTCCGTGCAGTGTTGATATCCAGATTAACGAAATGTTTTTTTTTATCCGTGATATGTTCCTCTGTATATGGTCTGTGTAATACACATATACTACTTTTAATTATTTTGGTTTTCTTCTCAGATTTCTTCTTGCGATTTACTTATGTTAAAGGGTAATTTTATCATTCTTAATCAGGTACTGTCACACCCCAATCTGATACCGCCGTACAACGGCACCTGACAGGAGCGTGTCGTAGGGAAAATGGCGCGAACCGCTTCCTACGAAACCGCGATCTCGGTACCAGTCCCAGGACATAGTGCTGGTACCCACGGTGACAAATATGAATCATAGCAATCCTTAAAATAAATAGAGGACTTATTTACCTTAACTTAGGTTGCAGCTCAGACAGCCCGAGAATACAACCGACGACGCGGATGAGGAAACACCAACAGCAGCAGCAGCAGCAGCGGAACCAACGGTCTAACACCCAACACCACAGGCGACGGCTGGGAACCAGGACGAAACCCTAATCTTCACTTCACTTTATCTTCTCTTCAGGGCGGAGGAACTATATATATATATTTATATAGAGCAAGGGTGAGTACTTTCGTACTCAGCAAGTCACGGGAATTTAGGTGTTTAATGCAAGCTTGGAAGAGAGGCAAGGTTGTTTTGCAAATCTTTTGTTTGAAATCATTTTGAAATCACTAAGTGATTTATTTCTTTTTAAGTTTGGGTCGAAAAGAGAAACTTGCGTCTCAAATCGACTTAAGAGATGCTTTTCAACAGCTCAATTGGAAATGTACCGACATCCCGGGTCAGATCATTACTTCTCGGCTCCTAGAGCCATTCCACTTGATTAATCGGCTCCCAGAGCCTTTTTCATTTTCTCGGACTCCCAGAGTCCAGCTGCCCAGCAGCACAACAATCCGCTTCCACTCGGGAAGCCTAGTCTATGATGCCCACAGACATCCCGAATCACACAGATTCGTTTCTGACCACTCAGGTCATCCATCTGCCACATAGGCTGATTCTGGTTACGATTCCCATACCACAACAACTTTTCACAAAGCACAGGCAAACAAATCTACGCAACGGGAACCACCTCACATCCGCCCATGACCGTGGGCACGGCTGTTCGAACAGTTAGTTAACCTCTGCAGAGGGGTACACTTTACCCACAAGACACGAACTTACTCCAGACACTGGCCGGTGTCAGAGGTTCGCGACAAAGCCTTTCCCAAGCCGACCCAGGGATACCTCATGCCACATAGAAGGATCAAATCCTCACATAAACATAGGCCATTTTAGGCGTTCACAAATCAAACTCCAACCACCTCGATCGGTAATTCAGCAAGCTTCTCATTCTTGCATTACCAGGAACCCGGTTTGGCTCCAACCGACCCCGCCCCGGCGTTCCCAACTATTGGCATGCGAGGTTTCCCTGAACCGACTAGTTACTTAGCCAGGGTGTCTCATTCCACCTTGTGGTTGCATTTTGATTATGTTCGATGAGTTTTCCACAGGAATCGGTCCTTATATGCGAATACGGGACAGTGCCACATAGGCACAACCCCCGCATCGCGAGTTTTCATAATTCATTTTATTTTCAAACACACCTACACCACATGTCGGGTTTTGAAGGCTTCACAAACCCATTTCCCAAGTTTTCGACAAACAACGGTGTATGTGGGATATTTGGTATACGCGCTCAGAGAGCACGAATACCGAGGTACCACAAGGGTGGAGCGACAAGGAATCAGGGTAGTACGACCTACGGAAATTAGTGCGACTACTGGGTAGGTCCGTCGGTTTGGCACGCAAACCGAGGCCAAGCAAGTTAAGTGTGTGATTCTAATAATGCAAGTTGCAAACAAAATAATAATGACTTTTCAATTATAGGAGCAATTGATCAAAGGGTGACTTGCCTTGCTCAAGGTCTTCACGAAGCTTCACGAATCTTCGAGAAAACCCGCGATCGACGAAAATCCGATAACCACAACTATACGCAAACAATTAAAAACCTACACAAGACCCAAAATAAAGATCCTATTTAGACTAGATAATAGTACCATTAGATAGATCTCAATTTTACGGAATTATTGGAAGTTGAACGGAGTCAATCGGATGAGCGGTTGAGAAGATATGGATTTTCTAAGGATTAAGGAATTTCTGTCTAAAGAAAAAGGATTTAATAATTTATTAAACCCTTTCTGCAAAGAAATTGAAGGAGGGATATGATTTAGACTTCCTCGGGTGGCTTGGGTGCGGCCCAAGAGGGAAGGCACGGCTCGGCCGAACTAATGGGCCGGCCGGCCCGGAGAGGCGGCCCAAGGGGGCGCGGGGAGAGTGAGGGAGAGAGAGAGGGCCGGTGGGCCAAGTCTACCTTGCGGGGTCCCGAGTGGGGCCCGCTTGTCGGTGGCGCGGCTCACTGTGGGAGCGGCGCATGAGGGCGGCGCTAGGGTTTCGGGTGAGCGCGGTTCACGCGCGTGCACCGGATGGACCAGGGATGCGGCGGGCCCACGCGCAGCCGGTTGGCGCACCGTGGACCGCGCGCGGGGGGGGGGGAGGAGGCGGCTGACCGGCTCTGCTCGGTCAAAGCCGAGGTGGCGCCGACGTGGCGCCTACGTGGCAGCCACGCAGGCCGGCGGGAGGAGGAAGAAGGGGAGGCTGAGATGGATGGCGGACGGCGGCCGTGTTCACCGGAGCAAGCGCGACGGATTTGGTCTTCGGGGGGGCACACCGGAGTAACGAGGGCGTCGAGAAGGAGCGAGCCAACGGCTCGGATTCGCCGGAGGGAGTTCGACGGCGGTGGAATTCGACAGCGGCGTCCGGCGGCGAGAGAAAGGGGAAATCACCGAGGGGCGACGAAGACTCAATTAAAGGCGGCGGGAGCATCTTCGGTGTTCAAGGAGCTCATTTCCGGGGTCGGATGGGTCTGAGCGGCGCCGTGAAGGTCCGGCGATGAGAGGCGGCCTCCGGGGGTGGGCGGCAATGGCGGCGGGGCCATGCCGGGTGGCGGCGGTCCTTGGGGCGGCGTCTACGCGCGGTCAAGGGGAGGAGCTGGCGGTCGCGCCCGTGGTCCAGGCGGTGGCAGGCGGTGACGCCGATGGTGGTAGGGCAAAAGGAAAAAGGAGGGGGAGAAAGGGAGCTCTGCTCCTTGCTGTTTCGGGAAAAGTTGAAGGAGGGAGAGGGAGTGAGAGAGGGGCTGCCTCTCTCGGCTTTGGAAGCTAGCGGCGTGGAGCGGCAGAGCGGCAGCGCACGACGCAGGCGACGCCAGGGCTTGACGCGGCGGCAACCGGGCGGCTGCGCGGCGCAGGCGCGGCAGGGCTGACGGCGGCACGACCGGCCGGTCGGCCACGCGCGAGCGCGGGAAAGAGCGAAGGCGGTGGCGGGTTTTGGGCGGCGACGGCGGGAAGCGGCGTCGGCGCGAGAGAGAGAAAACGAGAGAGAGAGGGAGAAACAGCGAGAGCGAGAGAGCTCTCTCTCGGCTCGGCTCGGCACGTGCAACTCACGTGCGAGGCTGAGGGAGGAGAAACGGCTGAGGGAGGGAGGTGGCTAAGGGGGGAAACGGCCCACAACACCCGAGGGAGGTAAAATAGACTTTTGTAGAGAAGACTGATTTGGAGTGGATTCGAATTGGGGTTTTGGATTCGAATTCAAATTTGACATTCGAACTCGATGGTTTAGGGAGGAATCAAGGGAGACTCGAGGAGAAGTCAAGGAAGAGATTCAAAACGGAAACTTGGATATTTTTTTTGTAGTCGGAGCGAATATTCGGCAAGGATTCAAAGGAAGGGATTGACTTTCGGAATTTGATTTCGGAGACTTGAATTTTGGATAGGAAATCTTGAGGTGGAGGATTTTTGATTTCGATGAGAGGGAACAACGGGATCGAATTGAGATCCATGGCATAACTTAGACTCTCACACAAAGAACGAAAATTTTCGCAATTAGGATTTTGCCGAGTTAGTTTTTAACGACTCACGAAAAGCGGAGCGTTACAGGTACCAGGAAGTAAAATATTTTCTAATATAAAATTTAGTACCTCCTGGCATTAGGTATATGGAGATATACCAAAATTTTTAATGTAAAATTTTAAGTACATTTTTTTCATGTACTAGCTACCTCCGTCCCAAAAGAAAAACTCACTTCAAGGCTTAAATCTGGATATATGCAAACCCTAAAGTGTTTTTTTAAGCAAAATTCATGCGAAATTCCTGGGAACCATTGAGCCACTTCTGAGCACACGGCGACACATGTAGGTTATATACAGTGGTGACAAATGATTAGAGCACTCTACTCGGTTGAACTTTCTATACTCATCATCATCCAAGTTATCCATGGATGGATAAAGCGCACAAAAAGCACTACACTACAAGAGGCCAACGAGTTGCATGAAGAAGATATAGATATCTAATTATCTATCAGCATCACCAATGATTAATCATGCAAGAGACCATATACAGTTGCACCGTCTAGTCACGATCGATTAGTATCATAGTACGTACACCTCCATTCCTAATATAAGTATCTATAACTTATTTCTACAATTTTAAAATTGAAGATATTTTTGCCTGTAGTTTGGTACGTCATTCGTGTATAAATTGGTTTTTAAGTTTGTTCACTTTTAAAAATACATATTCGTATTTGAGTCGGGTTATAAGTTCGTTCGTTTTTAGAAATACAGAAGGAGTTGCATAAGAAATTTATTTAAAAAAACTCACATACTAACTTAAGATGATTGGACTTCTAATTGTAGCTCATGATTTTCTAGACAAATATATATCCAAACAAATTCTCATAGTGAATTTCATCTTAACTAAACCGTATAACAATAATAGGATTAAAATAGTCTTTACCCGTTGCAATGCACGGGTTTTTTTTATAGCTTAGTAAAACATAAAAGTATAAAGAAGCAATATCTCTCGGTCATCTCATTGGTTAAATCTCAAATTTTAAATTGTTTAGATTTCGGTCTTATGTACTTGATTGACTGAAAAGATGTTTAGATTGTTGTGCACTGGAATCAATGTTCCAGAAATGCTTATATTGTAATAAATCTTAGAAATATTTATATTTGAGAACCTGAGGGAGTATAAGCAACTTATATATCAAGCATACTAATTAATCCTTAGATCTCCCCGAAAAGAAGATGTAATCCTAGGTGATTACATAGTGCATATTTCTACTCACCGGACAAGATTATTCTGCAATCTGCAGATTCTGCACTATTGAGAATCGATTCATTGGTTATTATTTTATATACATATATTGGCGTAAGCAGCCTTGGTGCGAATCTGGTTCCAACTTTCCGCCTTCCGAGATCGAAAGCGTGTTCCATCCACATGCCGCTAACTGACAGCGTCACAGCGGTTACTAACGTACCCGTCTTCTCTGTTGGAAAGCGTATTTTATTCGCAACGTGCGGTTCTTCCAGTTTCTCGGCGCCTCGGCGGTGCCCGCGCAGCGATCGAGGGGAAATTCCTGAGAGTTAAATTCGTTGAATCTTACCATCTTGTTTGTTATGATTGGATCCATTTGCCCTTGCATGCTTGATTTTGCAGGTGTGGGCGAAGGGGAAGCCTCGAAGTGCAAAGCCGCCCCTGCTTGCACGCGATGTGTTCGGTGAAATGCCTCTGGGACGCACAGGTGTCATTTCCCGAGGAAGCTCTGTTCTCGTAACATTTTGAGGTAGAGGTCACTGATTCTGATTTTTTAACACGATGTTTTAAGCAAGAAGTTAACTTTTCTCAGCAACTCGATCTAACTTTTAGGGAGATGCACATTGCCAGTGGTGCTACTACAGATTACTGAACCATAGGCGCTCTATGCTGTGAAAAGGTAAATCCAGTAATGCTGTCCGCTGTTCTCCACAATTTTTCTGAAATTGGTAGCATTATGTCTGCTTTGTGGGCATTGATGTGCCACTGCCGCCTACAGTCAAAGTTAAAATCGACGGGATCTCCATGTTCCTGACACGGCAAATTCTTCGATTCGAATGAAATGTTTGCTTTAGCATCCTAAAGAAATTCTTTTGTTATATTTATTTTTCTTTTAATCAATAATCAGTTATGCCAACACGGTGCACAACCTACAAACAGGGCAGCTAAAATTTCAATCAAATGGATCAGGAGCACCTTCTGACATTGAATGCTTGCACGTCATGGAATGTGGTTAATGTGATCAACTGATCATCCATGTGCTGATGGGATCTTTAAGTAGCTGCTTTGTGTCCATCACCCTATCTGTCAACATCGTAGAGTTCTTCACCATATCAACTTTGAGGTGTTTCAGATTCTTTTTATTTGGTTGCTGTCATAGTTAGTGGAGACAATGGGGATATCCAGGCAAGGAATCTGAAGAGTATGTAACTTCTACTCACGCGCATCAAAATTTCAGTATCTCATCTTTTACTGCCTGCTTATCTGGTGAGATATTATAAGAGGGAGGACTCAGTAAACTCCTCTAAAAAATGGTTCGAAGTAAACCATTTCAATTATTCAGCTCAGTACGCAAAACAATGAGGCTGGCTTTAGGTATGTATCCTTCCTCCCTGCTTCCACTGTAACAGTTCATTAGTCTAAGTGAAATTATTTAGCAATTAGGTCCTAGGTAACTAGCTGAGTAGACTAATAAACTAGGCTCTAAAAATCTTCTGGATCTTATTTTGTAGCAGAAGGGGTTGACCAGGACTGCTCTGTCAAAGAGCAGAATGTCCTTAACATCAGCACTGCCTGCTTGCAAATTATATGCTTACATGGTATGTCTCTTGCTCTCTTCATTAGTCATTACAAAACAGTGTTCGTAGAGATGCATACTTAGATCCATGCTATTGTTGCCCAAATAGAAAAAAAAAATTATGATTAACATCGTAACATGTTCTGTAGAATTAATGGGTATGGAAGCATTATCAGTATATACCATTGATAGACTAGCTAGCTGATTCGCCCCTCCTTCCAGAAAACAGAGAAGTGATTGGTTGAATGTACTCATGAAAGTCGCAAACCAAGGACCACTATGGAGGCTTCACCTTAAGATATGCATATCTAACACTGGAAACTATGTTCATGCATTGGCTGGCAATGGCACATACATGGTTGGTTTTGTCAAAGTGCATTGCATGACAAGATCTCATACGATTTGATCTCTGGGTTCTAGGAATGCCTAAGATGCATGCAAAGTTTACTTCTAGAAAAACCCAAATAAAAAAAAGATAATATTAGAAGTATATACACTATTTCCCTTTTTTTCTTCATTGTCCTGAAAAGATTGGTGGCAATCATTCCAACAGTAGTGACAGAACTCATAAAAATAGCCCTGTACAATGTAAGGTGTCCCCCTTGTACATTCAGTCATTCACTTCCCCTTATATATAGGGGAGAGACTAGAGAGGGACCCTCACCCTGAGCTCATTGAGGTGGCCAAATAGGTTCTGATCACACCTTTCTCCTCCTCCATGCTTACTACACTGGCACTGTAGTGCATGCAAGAGGAGAGGCAAAAAGATGATGATGTCCTTAGCAGCTTAGGTTGTGGCTACCTAGCTCTTCAACTAGCTTCTTCCCAGAATCCACATAGAGAGGCAGAGCTATATAGCAGAGTAGGAAGATACATACACACACATATGCATATAATTCCTAGCTCTAGCTGGTGCTAGCTCCATAGGAGATGTGTCCATTCCATTGCAGTGCCACGAGCTCGCTAGCTAGCTGCTAGCTCTTCGTTTCCAAGAGTAGTGTTTGTTTCCAAGAGGCCAGAGTGATCGATCGAGCTTAGCTCATCGGTTCTTGGGCCATCGATCGATCGACCGATCATGCAGGGGCAGCAGAAGCAGAATGCAGGTGGTGGTGGTGGTGACAATGCGAGCCCTTGCATTGTGCTGGATGGGCCCATCATCGTCGGCGCCGGGCCGTCGGGGCTGGCCGTGGCGGCGACGCTCCGGCAGCACGGAGCGCCGTTCACCGTGGTGGAGCGGTCCGGTGGCGTGGCCGACCTGTGGACGAACCGCACGTACGACCGCCTCCGCCTCCACCTCCCCAAGGTGTTCTGCGAGCTCCCCCACGTCGCCTTCCCGCCGGACTTCCCCACCTACCCCACCAAGCACGACTTCCTCCGCTACCTCCACTCCTACGCCGCCCGCTTCGCCATCGCCCCGCTCCTCCGCCGCACCGTCACCCGCGCCTGGTACGACCACCCGGCCTCCCTGTGGCGCGTGACGACGACGACAACGTCGTCGTCGGCGACGTCTGTGATCACCGAGTACGCGTCGCCGTGGCTGGTGGTGGCGAGCGGGGAGAACGCGGAGGTGGTGGTGCCCAAGGTGAAGGGGAGGGAGAGGTTCGCCGGCGAGGCGCTGCACTCGAGCGAGTACCGGAGCGGGGAGAGGTTCAGGGGCATGAGGGTGCTGGTCGTCGGCTGCGGCAACTCTGGGATGGAGATGTGCCTGGACCTCTGCGAGCATGGCGCCATGCCGTTCATGTCGGTCAGGAGTGGTGTAAGTACTAACGACTACTTGCTACTCTACCACTCTTCATGCTCACTTGCATCATATATATCTCTCTCTTCTCCAAACTAGCTGATATATATATTATTGATCTTATAAATGATCCAACTAACAGCGTGCATTTTCCACTTGGCATTTTAAATTGCTCCTTTTTTCGATAATGGATATATCAGTTAATCTAGCTTCTACATCCGAGATGCATATATGATGTATCCGCCCGCTTCGCATTTTTCTCTTTTATGTAACAATGTAAATACTTTGGTCAAGTAAAACAAGCATTTTTTTCCCCAGTTCTCTAGTACAAATATTACTTTTTTTAAAAAAAAAAGTATCAATATTCTATTCATTGACATATTATTCATATATGTTTGCTGCAACAATGGAACAGGTGCATGTTCTACCGAGAGAGATGTTTGGGGCCTCGACATTTGGTATAGCAATGAAGCTGTTGAGATGGCTGCCCATCAAGATGGTGGATAGGTTTCTACTCCTCGTTGCAAGGATGGTGCTGGGAGACACCGAGAAGTATGGTCTCAAGAGGCCCAAACTGGGCCCATTGGAGATCAAGAACATCACCGGCAAGAGCCCTGTTCTCGACGTGGGAGCATGGTCCTTGATCAAATCGGGAAACATCAAGGTATATGAATATGTGGTCACCTGTCTCTCTCTCTTATCTATCTCTCTCTCCGGAAAGTTGGATGGAAGTAAGCGTCAATGGAGTTAAAAGGCTTCTTTCGCATACCATGCCAAATCCTACTTTCACTTTTGAGGTTTCCACAACATTCTCCCTAGCTTGTTTGCGAGTAGTAACTGGGAAAAATTACAGTTTTATCTGCTCCTTGGCCTGATGGTTCCTTGGATTTTACCCTCTTCCTGGAATCCTGATGCAGGAGCAGGACTTGCATTTGTACTTTAGGGAGATACCATATACGTAGCTTTCATGTAGTTGACGATCGAAGGGAGGCATTATTAAGCATGGAAACAAAATAGACACCGGAGAAAAACAAAGAGGAAGCATTGTATTATAGGATCATCTTCTTTATTTTACATAATGAAATGAAATAATAGCTAGACTTATAGCTTTGCACTGAACTCTATTGCAAGTAGTAGCAACAAGTTGAGTAGTATTAATTGTGTCCGTCTCAGAAAGAAAGAATGTACGATAATTCTGGCTATGCATCTGGACAACGATCGTTCTTTTTGAAATGGGTCGAGGTAGTAGTAGTACTACTGCAGAGTGGTGTACATTCCGTTTGACTTGAGGCCGGCCCGGCCGGGCTATCTCTCACATATGTCCGTATAATGTGTATGTTGTGCATGTGCACCTCTGATGCCTCTTGTGCTGTAACAAACGCATATGCATGCAGATAGTACCGGAGGTGGAGTCATTCAGCGGCAACGGGGCGAGGTTCGTGGACGGCAACGAGATGGCGTTCGATGCCGTCATCTTCGCCACCGGCTACAGAAGCAATGTCCCCTCCTGGCTCCAGGTTTACACATACATATATATATCTCTCTGTATAGCTAGACTGTAGAATGAATGCAGTTAAGGCAATGTTGCTGATCGATACCAGTACTGTGCTTGTGATATGTATCATCAGGAGGACGGTGAGTTGTTCACGGAGGAGGGCAAGCTGAGGAGCAGCGGCAGCAGCAGTGAGTGGAGGTGGAGGGGTCCAAACGGGCTCTACTGCGTGGGATTCTCCGGGCGGGGCCTGCTCGGCGCTGGAGCAGACGCGCTGCGAGCTGCCGCCGACATCGCCGGGAGGTGGCAGGAGACGCAGCAGGCAGCAGCCAACATCTCCTCGGTGTAGTCGTCCACAGGCCGGATCGAGGACGGACGGGACGGACGGTGCATGCTGCGCTGTGCACACAGGCTCAGCTACCTCAGCTGCTGCTGCTGCTGCTGCTGATGGCCTCTCGCTCGCATGCATGGCAACATGGCATAGGTAGCCATGGCCGGAGTCGCATGCATTGCAAATATTCCACAGCTCGCGAGCTCACATCTGTTGCTAGCTAGCGAGCAGCAGCGGCCGGCTGGTGACCAGCGATGGCGCTGGTGACCAGCAGCAGCGAGCAGATGCACAGAGATCATATGTAGTCGATGCATGGGAGAGGAGGAGGAGGAGGAGGAGGGGTGTGTGTGTACGTGTATGTGCAGTGCAGGTGGGTTGTGACAAAGTTTTGCATAGGATGTTGCTTGTCTGATGCGCCCCATGCAATGCAGATACGGCTGAAAGAGTGCAGTCGTTTTTTTTGTTTTTATAATTTTGGTCCAGGGCTGCAGGCCGTGATGATGTCTGCATTACGTACTACCCAATTCCAACACTGAACCCCTTTTGATTTTATTCGCCCACCTCTCTCTCTCTCTCTCTCTCTTGCTCTTGCATGCCTCCGCGCCCAGTGTACTGTCTTTTCCGATCGATCGATACACATGCGAACAGAGAAGAGCTAGCGCGAACCAAAAAATTCCCCAAGTGCACACAACCACATTTCTAGCAGTCTCTCATCAATTGTGCTACATATGTGTGGTCTTCCAGTCTGCATCGATCGATCGATTGGTTCTAACTGCATGGATGCGTTGTGCATAGTATACCACGTACCTCATTTCTTGCATGCCGAGCTGATCGACAAGACACACGTACGTATACCCACAGTGCATGGATCGCTTCGTCAGATCGATATACAGAGATTATACACACAGCTAGCCACAGTGTTCAACTCCCTCACCTATCTCTGCCTGCTAAGGGGAAAGTGTTATCATCTTCTCCTTTCTTACGAATCACTTAAATAGTCATCTATTTTATTTTACAAAAAATAATTTATAAGATAGATTAGTAGGGTGAGACAAATCACTCTACAAACATTAAAGTTTAAATTTAACATTTACAAAGTTTGTAACGGATCAATTTATAGAGGTTGAATTTAAACCTGCATGTTTTAGTGTGATATGATATAACCCATATTATTATCTTACCTTTTCTTTTAAAAAAATGATAATTATTAAGTTCATATGTAAGAACTAGCTAGGATTGTCTTCTGGAGAGATGAAAAGTCATCTTCCCTACCAAGGTGGAGTATATGGAAAGTGATTTCATCCCTCAAGGGGATATCCTCCTGTTTTTGGTAAGATAAATTAATATGAAATATATCAGTACACAAACACGCAAGTTAAAATTCAACTTCTGCCAGTTGTAACAAAGATAACAAATATAGATGCGAAAGTACGATAATTATTTTCGGTTTAATTTGTTCTTTTTGTTGTAACTTATAGATGTCGAATTTGGTCTTGTATGTTTGTGGATTCATATTAATCTATGTTGTCAATTTTTTTATAACTATTTAACTGATATGAATGACGAAGAAATATCCCCTCAAGGAATGAAAATCCATTCCTGAAGTATATATAATTATGTACACTGCATTGCAGGGGTGGGGTTTAGGAGTAAGGTAGCTAGGGTTGCACCCCTACTCTTGAATCTAAATATACATTAGAACTGTAAAAACTTCAAAAAGTAGAGAATTAAAGGCAAAACTATGTCAATTACATTAGTTGAGCCTTAGACTTGGAAGAATCCTGGTTCTGCTACACGTACTGTATAGTAGTCACACTGCTCCACTCGATCTCTGTAGCCGGCCTTACCGTATACGTACGTAGGCATAAGTATGACATGTACAGGGATGGGCTCTATATCTCCTGATGCGTCACTTGTCATGCATGGACACACACATCACCAGCTAGCTACTGTACGTCACTCCACTCTCTCCATGAGTCTTCTCGATCCGGTCTTCTCTACTGCTCTCCTCTACGACGACCTTCGTACGTGCAAACATTTTCCATTGGGGCACGCTCACCTGATACAGTCCCTGCTTTTATATCTGAACCCTGTACTCTTTTTTTTGTTCATACCATACACCAAAAACCATCATACATCAATTTGGCCGGCTATCTCGTCGTCTTCTCACCTAGCAAGTCGATCCTAACACAGAGATCGAACTAGTGAGAGAATTGAATCAGTGAGAGATTCAGAAATCGAGAGAGAGAATCACTGAGAGAGCTAGAGGTGTGTACAGAGAGAAGCTGGAGAAGGGGACAACGCGCCAATTCCGATCGATCGGCGGAGGCGTCGCGTATGCGTATACGGACGAAAGCGAGATGCGTGCGGTGCGTGGACGGATGCGTGCGTGGTCTCGGTCTCCGTCTCCGTCTACCCCCTCCTCGTCGAGCCGCGCGCGGGTGGGCTAGCTTGGCGCCTTGCGCTACCTCCTCGGAGTTTATTTTGGCCGCCACCGCGCGCGACTGACGAGAGACCCCGGCCCTCCTCCGGCCTAATTTCGTCTCCTTCGGCTGCATCGTCGTCGTCGTCCCCGGCCGGTCATGGCCGGCCTCCTCCTGCCGTACCAGCTGGGCCACACCACCGCAGCAGCTGCCTAGCGAAGAACTGTGCCACACATGTACAAGCCGGCCACAAGCTCGATCCATCTGCTGTGTCGGGTTACGTTACCGCCAGTAACCGCGCGGTTACCATGGTTACCAGTCTTACCGTGAGGTACGGTAATATAATTACCGCGGTAACCTCCTTAAATTTAAATAAATTTAAAAAATAATTTGAACTTTTGATAAATTTTACATGATTTTTCACGGTTACCGCTTACCACCGGGGCATGGTAACCCCGGCCCCGGCGGTTTGGGAAACCCACTCACAAGAGAGGGAGAGATTGATCGATCGATGCATGATCCGCATCGAGATCGATATAGACCAGCGGCTATTAATAATTCTGGATTTCTGTCACGCAGAGATAACCACCGTGTATATACGTGCTACGTACTGTAAACCAGTAGTACTATACCACCAGTGAACTGTTCAAGGCCTTGATTTGGGAGTGGTACAGTGCTGAAGCATGCAGCCGCGCCTGTACCTGTACGTACTGCTCTGCTCCATGAACAATAAACCATTTTTTGTTCAGAATAGATGATGAACATATCGTACGTTTATATATATATACCTATGATTTGATCAGGGTAGTAGCAAAATATTGGCTGAGATTGTTTAGATATATATCTCGCGCTTTCACTTCACTGCAGCAAACGGTGCACTGCTCCCTATGCATGGACTACTACACAATGCATGTGTCTATACACATGCATGATCATTGCGTGCATACTAGCACTGACCACGTACAGGTACAGCCCGACGTACTACTGCGCGCGCACAGCATTGCATCGGTCGCTAGCCAAGCCAGCCAGCTATACGTACATGTCAGGCTATGCATGCATGCATGCATCACCTATACTCCAAGGAGAAGTCCATCACGATGTGTGTGCTAGCTAGCTTCAGTTACATCAGAGTCAGGAGGGCTAGGACCAGGATGGCTGTGCTTGCCTGGTTGAAGCTGCAAGCTTGCAATGCATGCGTGCAAGCAAAAACGTACATTATTTGTTTCAAAATAAACAAATCTAACTAATACGAGATTATAATACATTTTAATACTATGATACTTATGCGTTATGTCCCGCGTTAGATTTATTTATTTTAAAATGGAGTGAGTAGAAGTATACTAGTGTTTGATGCATAAGAGAGCATATAATATTTGAACTGTGGTGTGCTGATCAGTTAGTACCTCCAATGACAAGCACATAGACTCATAGTTCTCTCGTGTTTGATGGATTATACTAGTACAATACAACACTAGCCCTGTTGCAGTTAGTTAAATCGCCCAATGGCTATAAGAGCAGGTTACGTCGTTGAAGGTCAAAATTAAGTATCATAAAAAAAAAGTGCTACAGTTTGTGGCACTATGCAGGCAGTATGTATCAGCGTAGCAGGAGAGAAGAGACAAAAAGAGGTCGGCTTAACGATTGCGAGAACAGGGGGTCCAGTGAAGCAAGAAGCACAGGATGCATGCTACCTGACGCTGCTCTCGTCACTACTATTCGTAGCTAATACTACTGCCCTACATGCTACATTCTGTAGCTGCCAAGGGCTGGACCCATATTTGTTTTCGTCCCAACTACTAATGTCATTGCTGTTCCCCAGCTACTGATTTCGTCTATGTCCTCATCAAGGAAACAGTAGGGGGAAAAGTTTCTCCACACTTAACATTTTCTCGTTAATTGCTACTTCGCTACTCGTTCATCAATAAATATAAGACATTTTGGGTTTAAATTTTAACTGTAAATAAAAAGAATTATGCTACACTACTCTTCAAGCTTCGGTAAGTTTCATCGGATTAGGTTTACGGGTTTAGAGAAACATTAAAGGATAGTTGAGTTGGTAAAAGACCTGCAATAGGCGGCAAAGATAGGTCGGCGGTGAGGCACCAACGCTAAAACCGTGGGGATGGATGGATCGGATGATGATGCATGGTTGTGGGTGGGGTTAATAATGTCGCCCGGGGGGAGCGGCAAGAGAAACATTTTTCACTTTTGGTGAGCTACCAGAAAAAATGGATGAGATACGGAGTGGAGGAAACTTAAATGCACTAGCTCAACTTGGAGACAGTGGAGGCAACTACGTGTTGGCGGAAGATATGGGAGAGAAGAACGAGGATGAGAGCTAGAGAGGCGACAAGGAGGGAGTGAGTTGAGTGGCTAGCCTCATCGGAACCAGCATGGTGGAGGGCAAGAGCATCAGTATATGTAACAATTTGCCCTTTAGAACCGCGTGGCCTATCCTATATGACCGGCGGATCCATTTACACATATCACTGCACTTACACACATCATCGTTTCATGTAAAAGAATTAACCCATGGGTGATATGATTGGAGGGATAAGCCCTTATAAAATGGTTCCACCCTTATTAAACTAGTATGGTGATACTAAACATGCACACATTGCTCTAATGGACCATGTATGTCAAATCCTATTTGGACTAGGATGTCACAGTACACTAGGTTAGGCGGGAGTAAGGTGGTGGGCAACGAAAGTAGTGTGATCAGGCGGAGGAAGTGAGGAGGAGAAGTGGAGTTATAGATTAGTTGATTGATGAACACATAAAATTACGAGTAAATTACAGTTTGGGCTATATATTCTTCCCAAAGTTTTCCTTTGGTATATTGAAAAGGGGATGATTCTAACAAAAGATAATCTTGCTAAAAGAAGATGGAAGGGTAACTTGCCTTTTAGCTTGTGTAACTCTAATGAGTCAATTCAACATCTCTTCTTTGATTGCATAATGGCTAGATACATTTGGAATACAATCTATCTTACTTTTGAAATCAAGCAACCACGTAATAGTTCACACTTGTTTGGAAATTGGTTAAGAG